CCTTATGTACGTTTGTTGTTTCACTCTCATAATTTATTTTAGACAATAATAATAATAAGATAAACAAACAGCAGAGGTTAACAGTGATTTTTGTTCAGAAATGTTAGTTTATTTCAAACTAAATGTAATAATTTCCATTTTGTTCTGTTTTCCAAACCCACAGTAATAATGACCTCATGTATCAGTTTTATGTGTGTCAGCTGTATGTGTTATTTTAATTTTTTTAAATAAACTAAGCCATTACAGTAGTGGCTGGGTGATTAGATCGGTCGTCCTCCAATGGGAGAGTCGGGGGTTTGATTCCCCACTATACAGTCATACGTTTACATGTCCCTGGGAAAGACACTGAACCCCTCACTGCCTCCGGTGCGCGTCCTTTATCGGTGTATGAATGTGATCTAAAGCATCGATTAGTCTCTACAGATTGATTTGTCCAGTTAGTTTTTTACAGATGTGGTAGAATGCTGTATGAATGTGTGTGGAGGTAAATGAGGGCACAGATTGTGTTGTAAAGAGATTTCAGCATCTTGATTACTTAGACAGGTGTTATATAAGTATAGCCCATTTACCATTTGGTTATTAGAAGTGACGTGTCCTGCCTTGACATTTAGCTGGTCCTTCCATATTGCAGATGGTCTAGTTCAAGCCCTGCCATTCGTCAAAGATACTCTGATAAGTGACCTCATGATGAAAATTTTAAATAGTAGACAGCAATCCAATTTTAGAAGCAGAACAGGCGTATTGACAGGTTTATTAATGTGGTTTCCAATGGAGAGTGCCTCTCCGGAACAGGGTTATGATTGTACTCCATCGGTCTTTGCCACAGATTGTGTCATTTTGTGTCGTACTGAACGCTAGCTGCCCTATTTCTATCTGCTAAGGTCTGGTGTTAGGAGAGAAAAGAAAAACTCCCAACTAAATAATTAATACATTTACTATCTTTTATGCATCATTTTACATCCATCCTCTGAAGTTTTACGTGTAGAGTTTGTAGTATTTAGCTGCCTTAATGCAGGGATTTATTTAAGAGTAAAAGGCCTTGTTGCACAACGGAGTGGTATTTTATTTCTGCTGTATGACACAGACAGAAGGCATTAACCATTAAGTCTTCTAAATAAAGCTGTGGTTTTAAATCTTGCTGTTCAGCTTAGTTATTTGCATAACATGAACTATATGCTCTGCCTACACTACCTCGGATGCATTGCAGCTACTGCTGGCAGTTTATCTAATTGGTTTATATTTGTTTGTGGATCTTGTAGCTCGGGGGCAGCCCGACAAACATTAAGCTGCTTACAGCGTGTTGACTTGTGACCGGCGTCTTGTTTACTCTCTATATATGTCGTTTCCAAAGTTAGCGTCAAGATCCCACAAGAAGTCTTGAAGATGAGCTCCAGGAATCTAGTAAAGTTGAAAAGTGATTGTTGACATCATAGTGTTAACAAGAAATAAAACACCAAGTAATAAAGGCCTAGCATTCCTTGAAGGAATATCGCTTGCTGCCTTTCATGGAAGAGATGTAAACCAAGATCAAGCTAACTGCTAGCACTCGGAGTATGTGTTGTGACTCTGAACTGTTTCCACATCAGAATTTAGCTCAGTATCTGTAAAATTGTCTATGAAATCCAGTTTCGAGTTTGCCAAGTTTATGTGTGGTGACCATCTTGATATTATCTGGTTGTAGAGGTACATCCAGTGATGATTACTAGAAAGTTTCATTAAAACCCATCCAGTAACTGCCTTATTCAGAGTATGGCCTACGTCACTTGTTGTCTCTCCTGCTAAAATGGCTTTACTGCTGGCCTGGAGGCTAAACTGGACATCTGCAGCTCCACCTGCATATATAAACTGGATTAGAGTAGTGCTTTGTTTTCTTAAACTGGGAAGTGTCAAACTGACTTTGGCTTGTAAAGCTGAGTTAATTGTAATAAACTGTCAATTTAAAGGTACAGATGGTCCGATCACTAAACTGAGCACCACAGTGATATGGTTTGACGTGTGTATATATTATATAGATATAATTTTATTTATCTTTTTTTGTTTGTGATGTAAAATGCTGAAAAGTTAATAAAAAGGGCATTTTAAAAATACTTTCATTGGCTGATGAGATTGTTTAATGCAGTGGTTCCCATCCCTGGTCCTTGAGGAACACCGTGCTGCATGCTTTGATTGTTTCTCTGCTCCGACACACCTGATTCAGTGGTTTAATTACTTCCTTAAGTTCGGCAGAAGCCTGTTAATCACCCTTTCATTCAAATCAGGTGACGAACAACTAAAACATGCAGGATGGTGTTCCTCAGGGACCAGGGTTGGGAACCACTGGTTTAATGTTGTCTCAAACAGTTAGTGCTAAATTTTTCAGCAAAGATCTTGCGTAACTGCCCTCCACTGGTTCCCAGGTTGATTAGTTGTGGCAAATAATAATGGATAACGGATGCAGAGGCTGCTTGTGTGATCCACAGCTGTCATCATTTTATCTGTTACATTTGTAAGTTAGCAGATGGGATGCAATGTATAACACAGTCGTGAAAGGTTGAAAGTGCAACCAGAGTCATGTTGCAAAAACAAAACTACGGATTGATTACACCAGATTGTTCTTTTTTTTTGGGGGGGGGGGTGGGGTTAACACACAAGGGACTTTCCCAGAATACTTTCTTTTCTTCCTAAACTGCTTTTTCTTACCAGAAATGGTAGACTGAAAAATATTTGGCAGCTACATGACACATTATCTGGAGTAAATGTCAACTGGAAGATTAGCTCGGGTCAAAGCTCTTAGCTGCAAAGGTTCAGACCGTAAATGTTTTATTAGCTTTAATGGACAGAACAAAAGCGAGTTAAGGGGCTGGGTGAGAAGGGAACACCAGCAGCATAATTCTTATAATACAAACCGGATTCCAAAAAAGTTGGGTCACTAAACAAATTGTGAATAAAAAATGAATGCAATGATGTGGAGATGGCAAATGTCAATATTTTATTCGTAATATAACATAGATGACAGATCAAAAGATTAATCTAAGTAAATGTAACATTTTAAAGGAAAAATATGTTGATTCAAAATTTCACAATGTCAGCAAATCCCAAAAAAGTTGGGAGAAATAGAAATAAGTGGCTGTAAAAAGGAAATTGAGCATATAACGAACAGCTGGAAGACAAATTAACACTAATTAGGTCAATGGACAACATGATTGGGTATAAAAAGAGCTTCTCAGAGTGTCAGTGTCTCTCAGAAGTCAAGATGGTAAGAGGATCACCAATTCCACCATTGTTGCGCAGAAAGATAGTGCAGCAATACCAGAATGGTGTTACCCAGCGTAAAATAGCAAAGACTTTTAAGTTATCATCATCAACCGTGCATAACATCGTCAAAAGATTCAGAGAATCTGGAACAATCACTGTGCGTAAGGGTCAAGGCTGTAAAACTCTACTGGATGCTCGTTATCTCCGGGCCCTTAAACGTCACTGCACCTCAAACAGGAATGCCACTGTCAAGGAAATAACAGAATGGGCTCAGGAATACTTCCAGAAAGCATTGTCAGTGAACACAATCCACCGTGCCTTCCGCCGTTGCCAGCTGAAACTCTACAGTGCAAAGAGGAAGCCATTTCTAAGCAAGTTCCACAAGCTCAGACGTTTGCACTGGGCCAGGGGTCATTTAAAATAGAGTGTGGCAAAATGGAAGACTGTTCTGTGGTCAGATGAGTCACGACTTGAAGTTCTTTATGGAACACTGGGACGCCATGTCATCCGGACCAGAGTGGACAAGGATAGCCCAAGTTGTTATCAACGCTCCGCTCAGAAGCCTGCATCGCTGATGGTATGGGGTTGCATGAGCGCTTGTGGCATGGGCAGCTTGCATGTCTGGAAAGGCACCATTAATGCAGAGAACTATGTTCAGGTTCTAGAACAACATATGCTCCCATCTAGACGTCATCTCTTTCAGGGAAGACCCTGCATTTTTCAACACGATGATGCCAGACCACATTCTGCAACAATCACAACATCATGGCTACGTAGGAGAAGGATCCGGGTACTGAAATGGCCAGCCTGCAGTCCAGATCTTTCACCTGTAGTGAACATTTGGCGCATCATAAAGAGGAAGGTGCGACAAAGAAGGCCCAAGACGATTGAACAGTTAGAGGCCTGTATTAGACATGAATGGGAGAGCATTCCTATTTCTAAACTGGAGAAACTGGTCTCCTCTGTCCCCAGACGTCTGGTGGGTGTTGTAAGAAGAAGGGGGGATGCCACACAGTGGTAAAAATGGACTTGTACCAACTTTTTTGGGATTTGTTGACGCCATGAAATTTGGAAACAGATTTTTCCCTTAAAATGATACATTCTCTCAGTTTAAACTTTTGATCTGTGATTTGTGTTCTATTCTGAATAAAATATTAGATGTTGGCACCTCCACAGCATTGCATTCAGTTTTTATTCACAATTTGTTTAGTGTCCCAACTTTTTTTGGAATCCGGTTTGTTTTAAACTCTGAACCAAGACTTGAAGCTTGTTTCTGTCTCTGTTTTTATCATCACTAGGTTACTATCTTTAAAAACTGTTGTTACAACTTGGTGTTTAAAACCACTATAAAAGTTTAAATATTTGTACACATCAGGGAGAGATTTACCACGTGTTTGTGCATGCAGGGACTGAAACGCTTCTACACACGTGCACACTTTTCTCAGCCCTCCTCTAATATTCATGTGTTGCTTCAGTCGGGGACAAAAGGCTGAGAGGAAACTGCTGATGTTGCAGTCCAGGTTCAGAAAGTCCAGATACCTGAAACCAGTTTATACCAAAGAGGAGGAAGAAGTGAATGTGAGACTGGTGACAGATGCACGGGGATGAAATATTTCTTTCTTATTAGGGTGATTCTTTTTTTTTTTTTTTTAAATGCTGTTCTGTTAAACCGAAAGAGGAAGCAAAACTGTTGCTTGCCTGCAATCCTGTGAGATATTTCCCTTTTATAAATGAACTGTACTGACTTCCAGACTTTTGTGTTTCAGAGGAGGAGCTGAAGAAACTGCGCGAGGAGACCAATGTGGACTCTTTACGGCAGGAGCTGGATCGAGAGCGGAGCAAAAGGGTGGAACTGGAGCAGAAGATGAACGAGGCACTCCGAAGCAGGTAAGGAGGACATCAGAGGCTGAGAAAGCAGGACATGAGAAGTTTGTCACATGTGAACAGCAGGAGACTGTGATGGTGCGCCTCTTAACGTTGGACGTCTGCAGAGTTCACTCTGGGTCAGGTTGGATTACGTGTGTCAGTGCTGTCCAAGGTTTATGTTATAAATAGACTCAGCAGCTTGGAAGACGGGGAATTCCTCAAGGAGGTGTTTGTGTTGACGGAGATGGAAAGAGTTAACATTGACACGCATGACTCATCTTTTATTTTGTCAGTGATATAGAAGCTGTGCAGGTCAGAGTGCACGTTTGTCTTTGCGTGTTTACGACTCTACAATCAGATGATGCCTCCACTCACTGGAAATGGGAAGTTCCACTGGTGATCGGCAAGTGATCATCAGCAACACAACCTCACAATCGTCTGGGAATTTGAAGAAATGCAAGAGGTTTCATAAACTGGGAGGTTGTTGTCCAGTTCATTGCTGGTCAACAACATTTAGCTGGAAAGTAGTAAGTTTAGAAGTTCTTGTATTTATAATAATTATAATTGTGTATATATAGTAATAATAGCACCTTTTAGAATGAAAGAAATTCAAACAGCTAAATGAACCGTCATAAAATAAGAATAAAAGGATCAAATAAGAAACAAAAACGACAAACTGTACATAACCGTTAACTGTTCTGTACAAAAGTAGACCTAAAACAAGAGGTTTTAAAAACAAACACAACCTGAAAAGAGGCAGGTTTTTAGTTGTGATTGAAGTGCACTCAATCCACGGTTCCACAGTCTGGAACCGTGGATTGAGAAACTCAGTCTCCTCTTTTTTTCAGTCAAGGATGAGCAACTGGTAGAGGATCTTAGAACATGGGTCCTCAACCACTGGGCCAGGAACCAGTACCAGACCTTGGATCATTTGGTGCTGGGCAGCATAGAAAGAATACAAAATTTTATCTTTTGTTTTTTTTCTGTTTCCATTAGTCCGCATGGGATTTTAACATGGGCAAAGCCATGGATTAGGAGGCTGGAAGCCAAGATCAAAGCAAAATGGAGAGAAATCAGCCAACTGTTAGAACAGCAGAAAGGTGCAATAAATGGAGAACCACCATTAAAAAACCACCTGTCCATACCTGAGGTTCTAGAGACAGTCAAACTATACCTCAAAGCTCTGGCTACTCTTCTAAAGGGGTACACTCAAGAAGCAGAGGCCAGGAGAATAAACATGGTATTCTCCATCACACCGTCCAGTTCAAGTTCAAGTCAAGTTTATTGTCATTCGCATCACATGTGGTACATGAGGTGGAATGAAATATGCACACATGGTCCAAGTTACACCCCAAAATTGCAAAAATATAAAGTCTAAAAAGAAACTGTAAATAAGGATCTAAGATAAACGAATTAATGGAACGGCTAAACGAACGCCAAAAGGTACGCTAAAAGATCTAAGATCTGTGCTAAACACTAATAATGTAAAACAATACGGCGTAGCAACAGCAGCCTGAACAAGAGTCTGTAGTGAGTAGATGAGTATGAATGCATATAAGAGCATGAGATCAGAAGCATGGATAATCGGCAGCACAAATAAGTCACATATCATCAGTCAAAGTGGCATTACAGTGATTCTTTTTTCACAGTGATTATCCTGATTAGGGATTTATGAGTTAAAACAACTTCAGGGTAGAAGCTGTTCCTCAGTCCAGTGGTTCTACACTTAATGCTCCTCAACCTCCTGCCTGAGGGGAGCGGGGCAAAACGTGTGTGTGTGTGCTGGGTGAGTGGGGTCCTTCATGATGCAGGTGGCCCTCTTCCTGCATCTGGAGGTGTAGATGTCTGTGATGGTGGGGAGGCTGACTCCACGAGTCTTCTGTGCAGCCTTCACCACTCTCTGCAAAGCTTTTCTTTCTGCAGCTGTGCAGCCTCCATGCCACACGTTGATGCTGGAGCACAGGATGCTCTCCACTGCACACCTGTAGAAGGAGGTGAGGACTGAGCTTCCCAGACCAGCTTGTCTCAGCCGCCTGAGGAAGTAGAGTCTCTGATGAGCTTTCTTGATCAGGCCGGTGGTGGTGTTGCCCCAGCTGAGGTTGACATTCAGGTGCACACCCAAGTACTTGTAGCTGGAGACCACTTCCATCGCAGATCGGGGGGTAGGTGTGTTTGTTTTTTCTGAAGTCCACGACCATCTCCTTTTGTTTTCTTCGCATTGATGTGAAGGTTGTTCTTCCTGCACCAGCTCTCCAGGTGTTCCACCTCCTGTCTGTAGCTGGACCCATCATTGTTTGACGCACAGTCATTAGTGAGCAGAGTGAACAGGACAGGGCTAAACACACAGCCCTGAGGGAAGCCAGTGCTGAGAGTTATGGTGGAGGAGGAAAAATTGTGAATCCTCACAGACTGCGGTCTGTTGGTTAAGAAATCCAGGACCCAGTTGCATAGGGAGGGGCTTAGTCCAAGTGTGGGTAGTTTGTTACAGAAACCAGAGTGTACTCTCTCAATAGCAAGGGAACAACGTGAGGGTAGATCCACCCAGGGCTGAGAATGAGCAATATTGGAGAAGCATATGGGAGAAGGAGGCATCGCTCAAAAATGACGCCCCATGGCTACAAGATCTCACATCTCAACACAGCAATCTCCCAGAACAAGAACCAGTGCTCGTTACAGTGGCAAACATCCAAGACAGTTTCAGGAGTGAAGAGCTGGACTGCACCTGACATGATCCACACCTGCTGGCTAAAGAAACAGACTGCTCTTCATGAACGCCTAGCAGCACAGGTGATGAGATACTGTGCAGAACCCCCAAACTCCCAGGCCTCTGATAGAGGACCTGACTTTAAAGTGAAGTGCAAGCGCCCAAGTGGAAGAGTAGGATATCACATACAACGCTAGAATACACGAAGTGGCTGCAAAGTGAAGGTCTGTGCAGTGAAGTGAGCAGCAGACAGACGTCTGCAGGAAATTTAACTTCTGTACTCTAGCCTCTTACACCTTGTGGTTCTTCAGAATTTATCATGTTTTCTATTTCCCACTTCTTTTAAGTTTATGTTTGCAATATTTCATTGAGTCATTTAATCGTCTGTACAGTTTATTTACATATGTGCAGTTATGTTGCTCCTTTTGGTTAAATCAAAACATTTTCAGCTGTTTTCCTGATCCGAGAACTCAGAGAAACCACATACAGATTCAATGGAGTCGTTCCTTTTACGCACTTTGTTTTTGGCATCCATCTTTTTCCAAGAACCTGCTGTAATATCGTTGACTTCACGCCGAAATTGCTTCCAGTCGATCCTCGGTGTCCGTCTCTCACTTCCCGAGCCATTCGTCATGTGACTCTGTAGCCCCGCTGATACAGAAGTGAGAGTAAACATGACAAATATTCTACTTTTTCTTGTCCTCTCCGTCTTCCTTCAGGTTGGAGGACTCGCCACCGCAGCTCCCACGAAAACAGCAGTCGCCCTCCAACAATGGAACAGGTAAGGAGTCAAGTGGAGGCAGGCGAGTTTGGGACAAGTGACAGGAAATGGGTGAATGTAATATCCTTTGAGAGGAGTACCGTATGTGTTTGTGTGTTTGCTGTAGGACGCCTGCAGTGTAGCACTCCACTGGAGTGATCTGAAGCGTGTGAGGGTTATTGTAGGACATGAAGCAGCGAGCGTAATGACTAATGCTCACTTAGAGAGATTTTCCACGTGTTAATGAGCAAATGAACAGCCTGGTAAACATTATAACCCGTTTGTTTTTACGTTAATATTTTCAATGTCCACCACAGAATGGGCTTGGAATTAACTTTCCAAGCTTTCGCATCAGTCAAAGTACAGTAGACCCTCTTTACTTCGCGTTTCGTTCATCGCGGATTTTCACAATAAGATTGGACTTGACACAACTGGCTGATTGATGGATGAGCCATGGGTTGTTTATTTAAAATAAATTAGTTTAAATTATTTTGCACCATGTGCGCAGCCCACAAGTGCAGGTGGAAGCTCCCTCCTGCAGCTGATCAGCTGATTTCCTTCTCTGCCACGCACACACATTTCTCCTGCGGCGGCTTAACCCCTTGCTGCCCAGATGCACCGATCGACTTTTGTCTTCCAACTTGAAATTCAAAGTATGTCACACCGTAAAATCGTCGTAATCGTAAAGTAAGTGTTAAAAATTATTTTTCATTATTTTAGAACTTCTATGTTCAGTTGTTAAAGTGTAATTGATCAAGAAGTGCATTTCTGCTCCGTGCTGCAGAGCTGAAGCTGTGTGACATCCCTTTGATGTCCTGCTGCACTTCTCTTCTCTACAATTTAAATACTGTAACATTTTAAATAAACAATCCATGCTGTGTGGATTGTTTCTTTTGGGAGCAACATGTGATGAGTGAGTGTGATTACAGCCTGGCACATGTCATGACAAAGTTTACTGAACTTGAACTGAACTTGAACTTGGACTACTGTATCCCTACTTCGCAGTTTTTCCACTTATTGCAGGTGGGCGTGGTCCCAAACACCTGCGATAAACGAGGGACTACTTTATGTCTAATAAAATGGAAAAACCATGAATAAGTCATTTGCTGTATACGTCGCATCTATTATGAGTCACCGCTGACAATTTGGAAATGTGGGCCGGTGTTGTGCCAAAAATCGAATGGCTGCCAAATGGCGGCCGCGGGAGCGTGCACGGGAGGACTTTAATAAGAATTTAACAAGATTAACACTTAAAAACAATTATTTGTGCTAGAAATTATAGTAAAGGTGTCACAGTTTAACTTTTCTTTAATAAATGCACTTTGACGGTCAAATCAGCTGCATTTTAAAAGCCGATTCGCAGAAGCGGGAGCGCGCAGAGGGACGACTCTCTTTGCATTTCTTCGAATTTTAACAAGCTAACCACCTAAAACAATTATTTGTTTGCTAGAAATTATATTAAAGGTGTGTCTCAGTTTAACTTTTCCTTAATAAATGCACTTCGACGGTCAAATCGGCTGCATTTCACCTGGCGCCACGGCAAAATGCAGCTGATTTGACGTTTGCTCCAGGAGTTCTGGAGCGAGACGAAGGTGGCTTGGTACGGCAAGCCAAGTGTCTCATTAACAGCCACTTTTACCTATTAATGAGACACTTGGCTTGCCATATTAGTCGAGGGCCCTCTAGCAGCTGAAAATGGTAGCGTTCAGTATTTTCAGTCAGATTGAATGGAATCGTCAGATCTCAGCCAAAAATTGGGCTATAAATATGGAAAAAACATAAATATGTCGCTTCGCTTTATAAGTTGCAGGCACGCTAATTTATGCAAAAAACTGCGACTTATACAGAGAAAAATACGGTATATGCTTTTGTGCATGACGTGCGCTGCAGTGGGTAGGCTTACCAGGAGTTCTCTGCAGCAGTTTCTCTTGAAGTATAAAATGTCCATGTGAAAAAAGAATGTTGCACAACCACAAGAGCGACAACGTAAAGGTCTCGTGAAGTATGTAGCAAAGTAATGCGTTGGGGTTCGGCTACAGAAACTAATAGAAGTCAATACATTGCCCTAAAGTAAGGATAAAAGCACAAACTGCAGTGTGCGTGTGTGTTTTTGTGAACGAGAAGGTGAGGTAAGAGCAGAGCCAAAGCTAATTTAGAAAATGGGTTACGATTGTAGATCACTTGATGTAGGGCAGACGTGTCCGAGCTAAAGCTTACTCTGGAGACGTGTGTGGGAGTGGGTTTCCAGGATTTATTTAGGGCGTTTGAAGGTTGTTGTTTTTACTTGTGTTGAACTAAAAATAATTAAAAATATATTTATAGGCACCTTTTTGACACTCGAGGACACTGAACAGATGGTAAGCAATAAATACATGTAAAAAACACTAAGCATCAAAAAACTAAAATATGCACACGACATCATCAAATTATCAAAAAGTTTAGTAGCAGAAGAACAAAACGATGCAAATTATTAATAAGCACTCCTGAACAGATGAGTTCAGAGTGTGGCCTTGAAGAGAGGAAGAAACCCTGTTTCCCTAAATGAGCATAAGAAACTGTGTTTATATGCAGAGAAGATCAGGGCTGAAACACAAGTATTCTTTATTATGTGTAGTATCTTTTAATAATCTTTTTTTTTGTTGGTGTATCTGTTTTACTCTATTCATTTTTAAAACCTTTTTTTTTAACATTGAAAGTACTTTAAATACGTTAAATCCAAGCCTTTCAAAAATGTCCTTTGTCTAGTTTCAGTCCAGCCCCTGATCATTTTCAGGGAAATATTTTAAACTTTAACTCTGACGTGTGATTCATTCAGACACAAACTAATCTCCAACTAGAGGGATGAAACGGTTTTTGTGTCAACAGGTAACACACTTACTCATTTGATGTTTTACTGAATTTACAAGAAATGAAGACGAAACGGGTGAAAAAATGACTTTTCAGAAGTTTCTGGAACGTCATCCGGTCAACAAAAGGAAGATGCATCTCTCCAGACTTTGCTGGATTTTTTTCTTATTAAACTTTCAGTTGCTGTTCACCTGCTGTACGCATTAGTTTCGTGCATCTTTATTTTTTAAGACTCGCATTATGATGTCAGGAACGGGTACAATATGACTGAAAAATAAAAACGAGACCTTCTAAAAAATGAGAAAATTCATTAAGACTGCTTTAAAGCTATAAAGTCCAGTAAATAAATAAAAAAATAAAGAAACAAAGTCTGCACAGTTTTCTCCTACCAATAGTTAATGTCCTTATATTAAAAAGTTGCAGGCCAATTATGCATCATATTTTTTCCAGCGTATAAGTCGCAGTTTCTTGCATAGATTAGTCAGTCCTGCGACTTATATGTTTTTTTTTCTTCATATTCATATCGCAATTTATGATTGATTGCTTTAAATTTCGAAGAACTGCAACGAGTCCTCCCATGCCCGCTCGCTTCACTCAGCTGGTGCAGGCGGAGTAACGCTGGAGAGCTGCGATGGATGGATGGATGGATGGATGGATGGATGGATGGATGGATGGATGGATGGATGGATGGATGGATGGTGCTGTGTCGCCCATTCAATAAATGCAACAGATCAGCGGTGATGCATAATAAATGCAATGTATACGCCGAAGTGACTTCTATACGTTTTTTTCCTCTTCGTTATGCTTTTTTTTGACTGGTGTGACTTATACGCCGGGAAATCTGGTAAATGGCTGCCATCTACCATAAGCTGTTTACCTACTACAACAGCCGAAGGGGCTGAAAATAGGTCAACATCGGTGACATCCATTAAAGAGCCATTTGAGATGAAGATGTCTGATGCGTTGGAATGCATTTACTCAGATTTGTAAAATATATATATTAAAAAATTTTTTTGTTGTTTTTTTTTTAATAGCAGTTTAAAACTTTTGCACAAGCCTGCATATTGAAACTACTAGTCTTTTAAGGAACTGGCAGCACAAGTTTGTCAAATTTCTGATTTTATATCATTTAGCATTGGATTGTATGGTTTTTATGCTTGTGTGCGTTGGTGAACAGCACTTTGGCCAACAGTGTTTTTAAAGTGCATTATAAATAAAGTTGGATGTTGCATCTTTTGCTAAAAATGTAGGTGTTTTTTTTTTTTTTAATTTGTGCATTTTAGCAGCAGATTGTTTCGTCTTCTGTGCAGTTTATTATTTTCCTTTTATTTTACTTCAACCAAAGCTGCAGCAGATCGTCCAGCAGCACAGTCACCTTCAGGATTAATGGGCTGTTGCTTGTTTATGTGCAACCAGTAGTTTTCCTTTTGGCCGAGCAGGGACAGATGATTTATGATCATTTTCAGATGCTCCAGAGAGAATCTCTGCATTTGTGGCCAAGGCTCAGAGGTTCAGACTAACTTCAGTTCAGGCAGCGATGTCCGCTCCTAAAGAAGTTGGCACGGATGCTGCCAAAGATCAGTGAAGGACACCGCAGGCTTTTCTTTGACAGGAACATGTTTTCTCTTTCCTCCGCTCTGGGTTGGGCAGGGATCGGGTTTTTCCCGCCGGCTCTAAACTTGAATTGGAGGCGACGGACAGGTGGTTGAGCCAAACACCTGCCAAGTTGTTTCCCAGACGGTTCTTAGTGATGAACCGTCCTGCTGCTGCTCACTTCAAACGCAGTAATTGCTGCGCTCTTAGGGGTCGCATCACAGCCGAACTGCCTGTTTTTGCTTAGGAAGGGCTCCGAGTGGAAATGATTTTCTATAACAGCCACGCTAAAAGACGTCAACTTGCTTTGATTCCAACTTTTTTTGATTTTGGTCCGTTTGCCGAGTTCAGCAGAGAAACAGCAGAAGGAGGTGTGGAGTTCTCGGCTGCAGAAGTGGCTGTACGAGCGCTTCGGGGGTTACATCGAAGACTTCCGCTTCCAGCCAGAGGAGAGCACCGTGGAGGCCGAGGAGCCGCTAAGCGCTAAAAGGTGAGCGAGGCGGGTTCTCGTGCAGAACGCGGAGCACGTGTGTTCAGGAAGTTGCGCAATCCGTTCAACAGTTGATTATTTACAAAGTGCATGAGGATCTTTTAAACCCTCTCCTTTTCTTTCACCTCCTCTGTAAAGAAGCATGAGTCACGGCTGATTTACGAAGGCCATGACGACACCTCCTCTTCCTCCCACACACAAATCTGCATTTTTCTTTTCTTCACCTTCTTTTATTTTGTGTTTTCTCCTCAGGTTGACAGAAAACATGAGACGACTCAGTGAGTACTCGCTCTTAACGCAGGACTGCAACTCCAGTCTGTGTAAAATACACAATGTTGTGTTTCATCTACAACTGGCATGAATTTAAAAATATCGTTCCAGAGCGAGGGGCCAGGCCTGTCACCAACTTCTTACGGAACCTCTCAGCCTTATCCAACTGGCACTCCGTCTACACCTCGGCTATCGCCTTCATCGTGAGTTCACGCTCTTCCACACACTCCTCTGCATTCTTATACGTTATCTAGTGAACTTAAATAAAAATGTTGAGCATTTAAAAAAAAAAAAAAAAAACTTGAAGCCAAACCTTTATTTGGAGAAATGTGTAAGAGGTTTATTTTGATGTGCGTATGAACAGTACCTGCTCCGTCTAGTCGAAGCGCCAAAATTCACGGTTGAAACCCGTGCCTTCGTGTAAAAAGTTGTTTCTCTTTGCAAAAAGAAGCTGAGAACTTGTTTACTGATTTTTAGATTTTTTATTAAAAGCTTTGTGTGAAAAATGCTATGCTAAAGAGCTCAAACCACACGGAGCATCACCATTTTGAGAACCGTAAACAGGATGGAGAGACGGCTCATGTCAAGTCAATGGGCCTCCCTCACATTTTTCCTAAAGAGACACGCTGCTCGCTCCCTCACTATCCATCCTTCCTTTTCATACAGTCTTATACTGCCACCCAGTGGTCAAAAAAAGGTTCTACACACAAAATTAACCAACATTTCTTCTTAAATTTGACAATGACTAATTATTGTCAATAATATTTGACAATACTTGCTAATTATTGTCAATAAATATTTGACAATATTTACAAATTACTGTCAATAAATATTTGACAATAATGACTAATTATTGACAATAATATTTGACAATACTTGCTAATTATTGTCAATAATATTTGACAATACTTAGTAATTATTGTCAATAAATATTTGGCAATACTTACTAATTATTGTCAATAATATTTGACTACTTACTAATTATTGTCAATAAATATTTGACTATACGTACTAATTACTGTCAATAAATATTTGACTATACGTACTAATTATTGTCAATAATATTTGACAATACTTGCTAATTATTGTCAATAAATATTTGACAATACTTGCTAATTATTGTCAATAAATATTTGACTATACTTGCTAATTATTGTCAATAAATATTTGACAATATTTACTAATTACTTTGAATAAATATTTGACAAAACTTCCTAATTATTGTCAATAAATATTTGACAATACTTGCTAATTATTGTCAATAAATATTTGACAATACTTACTAATTACTGTCAAATTTCACACAATATTATCGTTTATCGCAATAATTTCTGAGACAATCACCCGGCAAAATTTGTTATCATGACAGGCCTTGTAATTAGAACAGAAATACGTGTTCTTTTGTCTGTTCGCTGACGGGCGATATGCATTGAAGGAGTGTCTAAGAAATCAGGAGTTGTCTTACAGCGTGAATAAATGAGTCTCCATCAACGACTGCTTCTGTCCGCACCATTACTGACGCTGATCCTGTAACGCTGCTGAAAGTGATCAATAAACCAAGCGTTCCCTCTGACTGTAGATCTACATGAATGCTGCGTGGCATGGTTGGGCCGTTCCCATGTTCCTCTTCCTGGCCATTCTGCGCTTGTCCTTAAATTACCTCATCGCCAGGTAAGAAAACGTCTGATTCAGTTTATGTCTAAGATCAGAATCTACCAGGCTGGGTTTCGTAATGTCCATGTTTTGTTGGTTAATAAAAAAACATTCACACTATTGAGATCCACTTTTCTTTCGTCGTTTGGCACGTAATTTGTTTGCGTTTGTTTCAACGATTCATGTATCGAAAAGTTCAGCTCAGTCAGGACATTCCTGTTATGATGCTTGGTATTTGTGCAATTTTTGCTTTTTGGAATATCGAGCTTTTTCAGCCATGTTTATTCTCACTAAACATAAATGGAGCTCTTCGGTTCCTTCAGAGCCTTTGTGCTGTTTATTATCTTTACTGCTCAATTCAGCTTTTCTTCTGGTTCAGCTTCTTTGTGCTAATTTCAGCTTCCTTCAGCTCCTATCTGCTCATTTCAGTTTAAGCTGTTTTTCTTCTTTCAGCTTCTTTCTACTAAAAGCTTTCTTCTGCTGTTTCAGCTACATTTTAGGTAGTTTTCAGCTAATTTTAGCTCTTTTCTGCTGTTTGTGTATTTTTGATAATTTTAACTTTTGATTTTCAGAGAATGTCAACTTTTTTAAATTTTATTTTTTCACTTACGTTTTTGCTAATTTAAGCTTTTTTTCTGCTACTTGCAGCTACATTTTAGGTATTGTCCAGCTAATTTGAGCTCTTTTTCTTCTGTTTATCTATTTTTGCTAATTTTCACTTTTTATGATTTTCAAATAATTTCAACTTTTTTATTTAATCTTTTTACCTTGTTTTTCTTTTTCTGCTCATTTCAGATACATTTTAGGTATTTTTCAGCAAATGTTAACCCTCTTCTAGTGTTTATTTATTCATGTATTTTTGCTAATATTCACTTTTTATGATTTTCAACTAATTTAAACTTTTTCAGTTTTACCTTTTCAGCTCTTTTTTTTCTAATTTCAGCTATATTTTAGGTAGTATTAGCTAATGTCAGCATTTTTCTATTTTTTGCTCATTTCAACCTTTTGTGTTTCTTTGAAATAATTTCCACTTTTTATGCCCCTTTCAATGTTTCTGCTAATTTACTTTTATAGCTACTTTTTTGTTGTTGTTGCTAATTTCAGCTTTTCCTGCTTATTTCAGTTTCTTTTTGGATAATTTCACATTTTTTTGTGATCTATTCAGTCGTTCTCTGCCTATTTCCACAAGTTCTATTCATTTCTTCTTTTTTCAGCTTTCTCTTCACATTTTGGCTTTTTTTTTCTGCTTTCAGCAAATAGCTGCTCAGATTGAACAGTTCAGAGACGAAACCTTTTCAGCAGCTTTCAGCAATGCACTCTGCATGTTCACAGGAAGTGTGTTTTCTCTAGTTTCATCTTATCGTTTCGTTTTCTCAGAGGTTGGAGGATCCAGTGGAGCATTGTGCCTGAAGTGTCTGAACCCATGGTATGAAAACGATGCTTCCTGGACCAGAACGGGCTCATGATGTTACATTTACGTTTGACTTTGTTCGTTTTAAACAGGAGCCTCCAAAAGAAGACCTGACTGTATCTGAGAAGTTTCAGCTCGTACTTGATGTTGCACAGAAAGCACAGGTACGAAAAAAGTTTAACTCAAATTCTCAAATTCAAGAACGAACATGAAAAAAAAAATAAAAATCTTGTTTCAACTCTTGGCAGAACCTCTTTGGGAAAATGTCTGATGTACTGGAGAAAATAAAAAAGTAAGTTTTTAAGAGTTTCTTTACTTTTCACCTAAGAGCACTGCGTCCATTATTAAAAAGCTGGACTTGTGTTTGTGTTGCAGCCTGTTCATGTGGGTGCAGCCCGAGAGCACCAGGAAGCTTTACATCTGCCTGTGGGTGGCTTTCATCTCCTCCTGCGTGCTGCCGTACAAGCTGCTGGGCTTCATGATCGGTAAGGATCTTTTTAATTTTCCTAATCAAACATTGGCTACGTGCAGCCGTGGGACCCTGAATGTTCGCAGACCTGGTTCAGTCGACACACACGGCACTCTCCTCCCTGAGAGAGGCAGCTCTTTAGCTGCTTCTCTGATAATATCAGCTGCCACTTTATCTCGTAAACTACCGGTAGGTGTCCCTGGATAATTGTTGGCTCAGATTTTCCAGCAGGATGCTCGAGGCATAAAAATAACTGTTGACCCAAAGTTATATCTGTTGAACCTTTTCTGTTTTACTGTAAATAAAAGAACAAACTGTAATAACTACGTCAAAAACCACCATGTGATTTAGTTTTAATGCACAAGTCGTAGTTTTGTGGTTCAGTTTGGTTTTAGATTCGGTGTCTGGCTGGAGAAAGACGGGATATACACACTGACAAAAAACAACAAAACAAAGTTCAGCTCCATCATAAAGTGGTGGAGATGAAACAAAATTCTTCATGTTTAAAGGTCACGGACAAGGTCAAAACATCAGAGTTCATGCTCAATAATCCAGGTTTAAAAAAAACAAAGTTAAGTCAGATCTTTGATGTTTGAACCGCTTTGGTCATGGCTGCCTCAGACGAGTCGACGGGGGAGAGGGTGGACTCCAGAAACCATCTTCTCACCATCAAACTGTTTGACCCCCTATGTGAAGGTGCTATTTATAAGACTGAGTTTGTTGCGGCTCCTCGGACTGATGAAAGACAAAACGTTTCAACAAATAAACTGTCCAGAGGACCTGACTTAGCTGTTTTTTTTAAATATTAACACATTTTGCAAGTTCAGAAGAGGAAGTGATCATGACGTCTCACATCATTAAAATGTTTTTCTCCCTCTCTTCCTGTTTATTTCCTCCTCCCCGTAGGTGTTTACGCTGGCATCAAGTTCTTCATCATAGACTTCCTGTTTAAGAGCTGCCCAAAGCTCCGGGATAAGTATGACACGCCTTACATCGTGTGGAACAGCCTCCCCACAGACCCCCAGCTCAAAGAGAGGACCAACGCCACTGTGTCACGCCGGGTAAGGAGACCAACAAACCTACTTTAAAAAAACGACTAACTCTAAACTGTTAGTCAGACTGAGCTGCAGGTGACAGGGGGGTCTTTCATGTCCAATCCACCCCTCACACAGAAGAGCAAAGGAATCAATAAAGTACCAAAATGTCACCCCTCCTCTCTTTAAAACATCACACCGAGCCACTGGCTGTTTGTGCGTTTCATGTGTGTGTGTGTGTGTGTGTGTGTGTCACAGGTGTGTTCTGTTGTTTCTCTCTCAGCTTTCCTGCACTGAGAAGGTAGGTGCTTCTGATGTGTGTCCCTTTGGTTCCCCTTCTGCTTTCAGGTGCCCCACACCTCAAAGCGTGTGTGTGTGTTAGTTAACAGATCAAAAATGTCCTTTGCTTCTTAAATTTCCAACATTATAGTAACGTTTAGGTCTGTCGCGATGAACAATAAATCAATTAATCGCGTGATGAATGAAAATTATCGACCTCATTTCCATTTATTGGCTTTATCGTTATTTTAGGTTGAATGAACGAATGAATGAATGAATTGTTTCTTCATGTCTCTCTTTCTACTGAAGACACTGGATGACAAAAGGCTCAACTCCGGTGCTCCTAACTGACCCCTCTCTTTCTCTTTAAAATCCATTTTAACCGTCCAAAATCTTGTTTTCGGACGGTTAAAAGCAGCTAAGCTGAGACGCTAGGCTACGAGTTAAGCTAACAGGCCGACCTGAAAAAACCTCCGCTTGTCGAAGCTCCAAAATTTACTGTTGAAACCCGTGCCTTCGTCTAAAATGTTATTTATCTCTGCAAAAAGAAGCTGAGAACTTGTTTACTGATTTTTTTTTATTTAAAGCTTTGTGTGAAAAATGCTATGCTAAAGAGCTCAAACCACACCGAGCGTCCACCATTTTGAGAACTGAAAAAAAAGGAAGGAAAGACGGCCCATGTCACGTCAAGAGGCCTTCCTCCCATTTTTTGTAGAAACGCTGCTCGCCCCCTCACTATCCATCCTTCGGTTCAAACAGTCTTACACTGTCATCTGGTGGTCAAAAAAATGTACTACACACAAAAAATCACCACCATTTCTTCTTAAATTTGACAATAATTACTAATTATTGTCAAATTTTAAACAATATTATCGTTTTTCACAATAATTTCTGAGACAATTAATCGCCCAGCAAAATTTATCGTGACAGACGTAGGTTATAGTTTTATACGCCCATCGAAAGGACGTATTGTATAGTCTCCATATTCCAAACGTTCTCTTGTCTGCCCTTAACTTCTGATCCACTCAAGAAAATTTAACAAAACATATTTGTACCACAACTAGATAACATACCGTGTAATCTTATCACCCCAGCTCTAAGGTCAAGGTCACAAATCAAGGTCAACGGTTCTACAAGGTCTTTGCTTGTGCGGGCCACTGCTATAGATGGCTGTATAATAGTTGGTGGATGTGTGCTTTATGCAGTACGGTTTGTGTCTGAGACTTAATCTTACAATCACTGGAGACATTTGTGATCCCCTGATTTAGTTTGTTTACTGAGAAGTTAATTACATTCCTCATTAGCTCATTTACACCCCCCCCCCCCATTCCTCTTTACAAACACTAATAAACCCTGAAGTGTTGTTGCTTTTAGTTCTGTAGTTGATTGCAGTGAAATTAGTTTTTATGTAGAATGAACCATATTTTTGGAAGTATATTTGTCCAAGAATGTAAACAAGTGTATTTATTTAAAAAATAATAATAATTTAATTGTACACAAACTATATTTGTTGGGGGTTTGTCTTCTTTCTGTTACGGATGCTGAGGGAATGACGCTTTGAACCATGTTGTGATGTAGGAGCTGTTTTAGGTTTTACCACCTGGGGATAAAAGGAGCTTCTTAAAGAGATGTGACCCGTTTCTCCCTCTCTCTCTTTCTTTGTCCCCTTATTTCTTCTCCGTGGACTTTTTTGCTTTTTGGTGTCTTGTATGTTTGTTTTTTTTCCCCCGTTCCCGTTTCTTTTCCATCCCCTCTGCCCCCCAGGTTCAGCCAGTGGTGTCACGGAGCAGCCTCGTTACTGTCCCCTCTGGTGTGAGCAGAGAGGAGGAGACGGGTCGCTCTCACAGCGCCAAGAAGGGAGTCTTCCATGAGATCTTCAACCTGCCGGAGTCAGAGCGCCCTCTGGCGGGTGAGGAGGGACGCTACAACTCTGAAAATACAAATCTGCGTTCAGCGCAAGCATTAACACTGAAGTGTGTGGTACTGTTTCTTGTCAGTGTGCGAGAACGGCTGGAGGTGCTGTCTGATTAACAGAGACAGGAAGATGCCCACAGACTACATCAGGAACGGAGTTCTGTACGTCACAGAAAAGTAAGCTCTCAGACGTAGTCAAACATTTTGTCACGTTACAACCACAAACATCAAAGTAAGCTTGGGTTAATGTTTTATAATCAGCTTTTAACTCCTCAGCAGCTTTATCTCTGACCAGGCCACTGTGTTCCTTGGTCTTCATTAGAGATGCACGATATTGGATTTTTGGCCGATATCTGATACCAATATTAATATTTTTTTTCCTAGACCTACTTACAGAGACCTCATAGCTTTCTCTGCTGTGGAATTAACATACTACATTATTCAGCATGGTCTTTGTCACTTTGGCCTGCTTCCAAATGCAGATGCCAAAAAGGGGGTTGAAAATGATGCAACACTTCAACTTGGTTTATGTTTAATGTCAATTTTATTCCTGACATTTACTCTCTCCAACACAATGACAACACTCAGTGAAAATGTGTAAATTTGCACAAATCTAAACTCAACCTGTTCACAAGCGACAAGTGAAAAGTGCATAAGTAGTAGTGCATTAATAGATAAACTTGACAGTTTTTTTTTTATTAAAAACTAACTTAAAGCAGAAGCACAATACGTGGTTATACAATCTTAATGATCAGCTCAAATCTCCTGGTCACTGGGTTGTCATACAAAAACAGCGCCTTTTATATTGGAGTTATTTTGAGGGACTGGCCAATATCCGATATTTAATTTTATCGCTAATACGCGATACCGATGCCATGCCGATAATATCGTGCATCCCTTCTTGGTGCTGTTTGAACCCTAATGTTTTGTAACAAAATTCACTTTTCAAAAAACATTCATCATTTACCTTCCACTTCACAATTACCCACTACTTTGTGTTGCTCCCATAAGCATCCCAGTAAAAGACTGAAGTTTGTGGTTGTGACGTATGAAATGTGGAAAAGTTAAAGAGACGTGGAAACTCTCGCAAGGCACTGTAAGTTTGATCCTCAGATCTGTCAGAGGAGAAAGATAACTGATGTTTGAATGTCGCTCGTTTCTTTCTCTGTCAGTAACCTTTGCTTTGAGAGCTCCAGCTCCAGATCTGGCTCCTCCAAGAAGAACAAAGTGATCAAACTGATGGACATCACAGATATCCAAAAGGTATCCTGAAGAAAATTAACTTCTAGCTTGTTTGTAGCATTACATGCTTTAGGTCTATTGTTAATAGATTATGTGACTTGTACTGTATGCAGACGATGTTGCGATCTGTAATGAAGGTAGAGAGCAAGTGGAAGAGAGTCTGGAGAGGCAGAGGTTTACTCTTTAAACAAATGAAAGATAGTAAAACAAGACAAAGTTCATATATATGAGTAAGAGGGAGACGGGTCTGACAGTAAAGCTGAATGGAGAAGAAACATTGAAGGCAGCTGAGTTTTAACTGTGAGCCAGGAGTTAAACACGTCGAGATCCTAATTCAAAACGAGCTTCAAATCAGTCCTACTCGACAGAGGCTGGTTTGCCATCGGTGGTCCTACCAGGAGCTAATGCCAAAGATAAATGAGCCCACGGGATCATGGGAGTACTGCAACTCCTCCATCACAGTATGGTGGCAGTTCTGCAGAGGAGGAAGCAAGCGCCTGAAGTGAGCTGCTTCTGTAAGGTTACTGGGTTAAGTCTTAGAGAGACTGTTAGGAGCTCCATTATCTGGGGGAGTTTAGAGTAGACTCCTCACCTCAGCTGTCTCACTGATTAGGACGCCTCCTGGGCTCCTCTCTCTGGAGGTTTTCCAGGCACGTCCCACTGGGAGGAGACTTCAGGGCTAATCCAGAACTCACCGACGGGATTATATGTTCTCCCTGGCCTGGGAACACTGGGATCCCCCGGGAGCAGTTGGGGAGAGAGATGTCTGAGTATTCCTCCTGGACCTGTTGCCATGGCAACCTGACTACGGATACGCTGACGAAAATGTGGAAAAGTGGAGAGTGGAGGAAAAACGACTGCAGAGATGATTCAGGAGGATATGTACAGGATTGATGTGACAGAGGAGGTTTGAGGGACAAGCCTTTCCACCATGTTGACATTAAAGCAGTGGTTCCCAACTGTGATCCTTGAGGAACACCATCCTGCATGTTGTAATTGTTTCTCTGCTCCGACACATCTGATTCAGTGATTTAATTACTTCTTCGTGTTCTGCAGAAGCCTGTTAATCACCCATTAATTAAAACCAAGTGTGTCGGAGCAGAAAAACAACAGAAACATGCAGGATGGGGTTCCTCAAGGACCAGGGTTGGGAACCCTTGAAGATTCCAAAGGGAGCAGCCAAAATAAAAACTAAAGACACTGTTCATTTATATTTGGCTCTGGTTGTATACTGGTTCAGTTAAGCTAATCATGTTTAATTTTGTCCTTCGCAGTATAAAGTCTTGTCAGTCCTGCCTGGAAGTGGTATGGGCATCTCTATAGCCACTCCTTCCACACAGAAGGTACAGATCGTTGTTCTGCGCTGGATAGAAAACACTTGTTTAAAATGTCAGGCGGTCTCTGTAGAAAAGCTGCGTAAAAACATCTGAAAGCTGAACCGTTGTGGGACCATATCTTTGATAATTGCTGTGTCTCCTCCAGCCGTTGGTGTTCGGTGCCATGATCCACCGAGACGAGGCTTTCGAGACGATCTTCACTCAGTACATGAAGATCATGACCACCTCCAAACCGCCGGTCAGCGCTGAGCTTTAGACTGCCAGCTCTCCTCCACAGCGGGGCTGAAAACTCAGGCAGAGAGCCTCCTCCTTCCTCTGGTGACGGGTGTAGCTTCCTGAACGACGTCTTCAGCAGGTGGCTACTGCGCTTTAAACCGGAGGAGATCCTGAAGGACTGAGAATCAGTTTTTATCAATCAGAGGGGCTGCAGAGGAGCTGGCTCTCCTCTGAGACCTCACAGACCAACGGACACGCTGGATTACTCGTTTCTGTGTTTGCATGTGTGAACGTGTGTTCTGTGGCTCAAATTTTCACTTATTTTTTCACCCGGGTGGAGTCTGACGAGGTGGGAAGACTCAAAGGAGCTCTCAACCTGGAAATGAGACGACTATCGTAAAGAAAAACACGTTTAGGAACGGCTAAAGTAAAACCATCACGTTAAACTGGTGCGTTCTGGCCAGCACAAACTGTAGGCGTCTTATTTTTCTGGATGTGTGTAATTAACTGTGAAAATGCCTTTTTCTTAGTTTACTGTGTAATTCCTTTCAAAGGCTTCGGCGACGTCGGCTTTAGAGAAAAGTTCAGCTTCTGTTGGTTGGCGTGCACGGTCTGTGGAAACCTTCTGCCTTGTTTCGTTCTGTTTTTGTAACAAAGAGCCTTTTGTAGACGCACAGCTGCCGGTTCGGTCCAAGACACGAGCACAACTCTGACTGCCATTTAGATACGGGGGGGGGGGGGGGGGTCACATTTTCACATTTCAACTAAGGCTGGGCGATTAGATTAAATATCAGCCGTTGCAGTCGATCAGACAGCGGATTTTAATTTTAATTTTATTTTTTACACGTCCGTCCGTAAACTGTCGCATCGTTTTTTCATCACCTCAGCTCTAAGGTCAAGGTCACAAATCAAAGCCAAAGGTTCTACAAGGTCATTGCTTGTCCGAACCATTGCTATAGATTGCTGTACAGTAGTCCCTGGATTATTGTAATGGTTACGTTCCACACACTCATGTGATACGTAAAAAAACGTGAAGTAGGAACGCTATATTTATTTTAGTATTTATATATATTTTTACATATATATATATATTAAGCTTCAGGATTATCTCTGACTTTCCTGCCAGTTCTGCGAGCTTAATAACGTAATTTACTTTCTTTGCAAAACTTTCCCTCCGTTTGGCAGAAACTGCAGCTGGGAGCACTGTTGGCTTCTGGGTAATGTAGTTTTTTGACTGGCATTAGAGTATAGGCTTATTTAAAGGAAACTACAAAATGGTTGCACCTGTCCGAAGTTTTTTACTTTTCATCCCAAAACATCACAGTCACGTGAGTACAGTAGTCCCTCGTTTATCGGAGGGGATCCGTACCTTGAAGCCCCGCGATAAGTGAAAAAGTACGAAGTAGGAATAGTAGTACAAGTAGTAGTAGTAGTTTATTTTAGGTGTTTTGACCCCTTCCCACACTCTTGCAATATTCTAAACAATGTTTCTAAACTGTAAACGCTCTTAAAGAGCACAGCATGTCATGATTTCAGCTCCCTGCCTCCGCTGCTCTCTGACACCTGCAAGCGCTCTTGGCCACGCCCACTTCTCCGCTCTGCACAGAGAACAGCTGATCAGCTGCAGCAGGAAGTTTATCCTGCAGTGTGGGCTGCACATCTGTGCTAAATAATTTAAAATAATTTATTTTAAATAAAAATTCCAAGCTGATTGTGCGTCTCATCCATCAATCAGCCAATTGTCATGTCCAGTCTTATTTTGAAAAACCGCGATAGAGTGAGTCCGTGATAAAAGAACAGCGAAGTATAGAGGGACTACTGTATAACAGTTTATCTACACCGCTCTTGTTTCGACCAGTAGTTGGATTTGTGATTCAAATCAGAACGAACGCGCTGATGGTGCACCGTCCATCTTATTCATGTTCAGCCTTTAAAGCCTCAAACCTTTTGATAAGGTGTCGGTACAGCCCCCTGAGGGACGCCACTGAGGTTTTGTTGTTCGTGAAGATCAATTCAGGGTGCGGCATCATTTAAGCAGCAGCTCAGGTGACTACGAAGGACCAAGTGGAACAGTCACAACTCCTGTGTTCTCTGTGGCACTTCCTGTCTGTCGTTTGTGGTTTGGCACCAAACCAGAGGCTCGGTGCAGTTTTCTGTCATTTTTAAGCTAAATGAAGCCCAGTTTGGAGTTCCAACTGAATTTATTCCTCAGCTTGGAGTCTTGTTGCTCGTCTGAAAAATGTCATTTCAATAGATTTTTTTTGTATAATCCAACTTTCCAACCGTTGTGAGCTGCAACATTAAGGGCTCTGTGGTTCTCGGTGTAAATCAGCCGCCTGGAGCTGCTTCTGTTTCTTGACAAAAGTTTGGAGTAAGAAACTTTAGCCGTTAGTTGAAGCCTCGAGTCGGGCTGTGCGCAGTTTTCTTCACGCTGCTGGTATTCGTTTCGCACTTTACCTGCATTTTACCTGAAACTGCCGACTCGTTTCTTTTGAATGCTTCATCTCATCGATGCAAGCTGCTTCTGTGTTCACGCTGCTGGTCGACAGACTGATCCCAGCTGCTGCTCGGACGGTAAAACCTGACGGGATTTATTGTCGAAGGCTAACCTCCGTTTCCTTTTGTCTTTTAGGTCCGTATGCTTTGAAGCAGGAGTGTTTAGGGTGGATAAAGCGTCGGTTTATTTTAAAGCACGGTTCTCTTAAAGCTGGATTTTTGCTCTTTGCAGAGCGGCTCGACGTGTAGAAACTTAATGCCAAACCACATCAGACACTTTAGTGTTTTTTAGAGACCCAGACTCGCACAAGCTTCCTTTTGTTTCGTCTAAATCTGTTTAATACGGTGGTCCTGGGGTGTAAATGAACATTTGGAAAAAAAAAATAATTAAATTTGAAATAACACAACATTTGAAAAAACAGAATTACATTTGAACAAAACTGAATTACATTAAGCCGAAGCGCAAGTGGCCGAAGCGCAAGTGGCCGAAGCGCAAGTGGCCGAAGCGCAAGTGGCCAAAGCGGAAGTGGTCAGAACCACATTTGCAAAAACAGAATTACATTTGAAAAAAACTGAATTACATTAAGCCAAAGCGCAAGTGGCCGAAGCGGAAGTGGCCGGAATCACATTTCAAAAACCTAAATTAAATTTGGCGGGGAAAAAAAAACACGTTTGAAAAAACAGAATCACATTTGAAAAAATGGAATTACATTAAGCCAAAGCGGAAGTAGCCAAAGCGGAAGTGGCCGGGATCACATTAGAAAAAAACGGAACTAAATTAAGCCCAACAGTGTTTGCTTTTATTTTTTATTTTTAATAAAGACTTAATATAAACCACTTAATTTAATTCAGTTTTTTCAAATGTGATTCTGGCCACTTCCGCTTTGGCCACTTCCACTTCGACCACTTCCGCTTTGGCTGAACGCAATTCAGTTTTTTCAAATGTGATTCTGTCCACTTCCGCTTTGGCTTAATGTAATTCCTTTTTGTTCATCTGTAATTCTGTTTTTTCAAATGTTGTGTTTTTGTTGTTTTTTGTAATTTCATTTTTTTCAAATATGATTCTGTTTTCTTCAGATGTTCATTTACACCTCAGGGCCACCGTAGTTTAAAGGGAAACCTTGACATATTCTTTGATTCTGGTTAAAAAAAAAAAAAAGGTATTTAGCCGAGTGACCACTTCAGACCCTGTAAGGCAGAAGACTGGGATTTTCTGCCCTTTTACTCTGAAAATGTCAAGACTTCTCTCGACCTCAGTCTGAGTCCACTGGATATGAAGCTGACAGAGTCGCAGCTGACCAGTTTAGACTTGAACGCTTTTGAAATGTGAGTTTTATTTTTTGTTGCCTTCCCAAATGTGGCTTTTTGTTTTTGCCTGTCAGACGTGCAAGCAGGGTAAAATCTGTCGTCTCTATTCTGAAGCTTTTATTTTGCCTTTTAGAGCCTGATTCGTCCCAAGACCGTGATAAACAGAATGTATCAAGGTTTTTTTTTTGTTTTTTTGTTTGTTTTGCCAAAACTTTTTGATTTGTGTCTGCCATGTTCTGCCTCATGTTTACAGGAAGCTGTCAAACGTATTTTTAAATCGCTCGGTTTGAGCTCCTTTGACTGTGGAGCGGTGAAGACTGGGTCCTCCACGGTGAAACTAATGCAGTATTTCAGCATTTAAACGGTTAAATTTAGTTATTCTGATGAGAAAGTTGAGCAAAATCACTCGTTTAAGGACGAGCAGACGGGTTGAGCTGAAATAACAGCACTGCTTTTCACAGTTTATTCACTAGTCCTGTGCAAAGGTTATAAAAAATATCTTAATTGTTGTAGGTAGATGTTTACCTGATGTCAGTTTTAAAGAAATGCATTGTTTTGACCAGATTGACGAGCTAACGACTAGTCCTAGCTTAGCCAAGACTGGGCTGCACAACTATGACATCCACGATAACAATATTATTTAATATTGCCGTGACCGTATCGGTTACGATAAACACGTGTTATTAGGCGCTCAACTCCCCGTGTGTTGGTATTTAAGTGAGTGGGTGCAGCGTTTGATTAACTAATCTTTACTTTAGAAGTAGTCGTGTCTAATTTAAAGTTGTGATATTTGTATTGCAAATGGCTAAATTTACGATATATTGTGCAGCTCTTCCATCTTAAACAAATCTCCAAGGAGTTTATGCAAAATCTGTTTTATAAACGTTTCACTACAAATTTAGTGTTAGTCATTTACATCAAATCTTGTCGTTCTTCCCGAGCACAAATAGCAGCAGCAGCAGCCAGCTGTAGCACTTCCTGTGATAATGTTGTATTGTTCTGCTGGGAAAACAGTGCAACGAGACATCGACTGTTATAAACGTTTAAATTGGCATTTGACGTTAATATTTTTGAATTCTAATTTTCTATCTTGAACAGGTAAGATATTGATTATTTATAACCTCAACACAGAACTATGCTTGGAAAGATTTGAACTATCGCTTTAAGCCCGTTTAGTTAAATGTTTCTGCAGAAACGTTTTCAGTTTTTAACTGATCTGAAAGCAGGTGCGAGTTTTATTTTGAAAGGATGGTAAACGACTAAATGAAGCAGGGGTTTAGTCAGAAGCAGTGTTTTATTTTGAAAGGATGGTAAACGACTAAATGAAGCAGGGGTTTAGTCAGAAGCGGAGTTTGGTTTGACGTCCTGTGTGTCAGTGTTCGTTAATGAAGTGTTTTTTTTTAA